GTATCTTCTCTAAGCTTCGATTCTGCTTCGCGGAAGCATGTGTAAGACATAGCTCTGCACTTCGTTTGCAGCCACGCAATCGAGTTGACTATCACTAAGTAATTTGAGTTTTGCGTCCGGCATCCCCATTGAGCGTTCCATCAGACGGTTGACCTCTACACACCAAACGAAGTGCATTTATGTCCGGATTCAAACCTAGAGAACTGCGTGTTTCTAAGATTTGCAAGCAAACGCGTTACCCACTTAACTATCACTATGATTTGTGTGTCCTGAACATCCAGGATAGAAACAAACGATTCCGGACGTGGGTATCCGACAGCAAAAAGAAGAAGAAAAGCTAAACTAAGGGTTTGGCAGAATCGAACGAAAGTAAAGTTCGGGAGAAAAAGATGCCTCTCAGGCTTCTTTCTTGTCAGCGCCGTCGTCATGAGCACGAGCTGCGAGACAAGGGGCAAGGGCAACCTCTAATAACAGCGATGTAATTTTAGAGACAAAAGGCATCCACCATAAAGACTCGACATACATGTGATATAAGGGTAGTAACTAAAACGCGCATGGCAACGTCCGACACGCAATCGCTGCGAATTACCTCCAAGGGTTGTGTTAAATATGTTGAAAGCAATAATCAATAGGTAAATTTGAGACCGAAGAGAAATGGCCTGAAAGTGAGATGAGCACTACGAACGGGGAACGGAATTAGCCCTGGGTCGCGAAGCAAAAAAGATAGTTTTGCGGAAAACTGATGTTATGCAGATATATACCATTGTCCATAAACATAAATATATAAACATATATATATTTGAATATCTTACATGGTATCTTTATGGCACCTTTGTAATACCCTATCGCCATACAGTTAGCGGACACTCTATATTATTATTAGTACTATATAAATGATATGTACATCATGAGATCGCGTCGTGGTGTCACTTCTAATAGTAACTGTCCGGCAAAACGGCTTGCAATTAAGTCAATATTATATGTCAATAGTATATATACATATAAGTATATATCAAGTAAAGTAAAAATATTCATAGGTTCTTGGCACATGTGTTGACAAACTCGATAGCGGCAAAGATCTCATATTATCTAAACCTGGTACATGGATGTTAGCAAATTATTTATAATAATTTGCTAACATCCATAACAGTTGCACTGTATACTTGTTGTGTTGAGCATGATCCAAAGCATCAATATTTCTAGGTCGAATCTAATTTTGTTGACTAAAAGATATGTAGGCCAACTGATACTAACTATAACCATAAAGATAAAATTTCACAAATTTCAAAGAAAAAGTAGTTTTCTTAACGTGCGTAGATGCACTAGCCTTGGGAAAATACAACATTCAAGTGTCTGTGCGCTTCATTGTAAGTTAGTTTTAGGGCTGGCTAGGCGTCGGCAAAATGATTATAGCATATCTTAAGACACTAATATTCATTCTAAGAGATGGTGCTACGTTTATGATACGTTTTCTACTACAAAATTAAAACAGCGATAAGTTTGCTTTGATCTGCTGGTATTACTACTCGATAACAAACTATCGAAACTCGTAAAACGCTAGTCTTTTTGAACGATGTAATAGGATGATTTGGATTTTTACTCGATATTTTTAGTTTAGTTACGTAATAGTACTTACAGTTCAGGTGACATAAAGTTATAGGTTTCGTATACAAGCAGGGTACTGACGAAGAGGACACACCCAATTGATATAGCTGCTCCGAGGTACGTTGGTTGCGTGAGATCTGCTGGCACCTTTCTGTATACATCCAGTCTAGAAACGAAACAAAAACATATCAATAGTTCACTTTTCTAAAGGCTACGAGCATTTGAAAAGAGCTTTTTATCATTACATTCATGATGTATGTTGTTTACTTATGTCCGCATATCTGTGCTTCGCTGAAACGTATTACACCTATAGATAATCTATAACTTCAAGTTATTAGTGCTTTGATAAAATCTATCGCTATGACATTATTTGTCGTTGTCCTACAAATGTATGTTAATGGGTCTGGCAACAGGGGTCATATTAAGCACGCTCACATTGTTAACGTAATAAGAACTCAGTTGTGCAATAACAATGTAGGGCAGAAAATTGATATCGGCCATTGATGTTTCCACCAAGGGTGTTACGGTATGGGCCATTGCGATCAGGGAGAATATCGTTTCTGCAAGATTTGTCAAACGAGCCTTATCGTCATCAAACAAGTACGGACGTTATGTGCTGATATAGAACTTCGACGATAATTTCGACCACATAGTGCAAATGTACTGCTTGTTATTATCAGTGCAACAATTATAATCTTCGGTCTATAACAGGAAAGGTCCACTTTGCAAGGACTATACACATTTTCTTGTCATGATTACCTATCATTTCGCTAGATAACTATAACGTAACGTTGGTTCGGCATTGGTCAGCAGGAACAAAGCTGAGATGAAGGAATTATGAAACTTCAAGGACTAACAAACCCGACCGCCAAGTAAAACATACAGCGGTCTCCATGACCGGTGGTCTTGCCATGATAGCACACTCTATGCAACACTTTTTTTTGCTTAAAAACGGCCGACCTTAAGTATTCTTCGCCAATTCAGACATTTCTCGAGTGACGTCGAACCTCAAAATAAAACCACCCTAGGATAATCAGAATTTTCCTAAAGGTGACTAAGTTTCAGCTTAACAAACTTCTAATAATGTATATAAGGCGGAATATATAATGCTGAATTCTTAGTCTACAAACGTTTAGTGAATGAACTCAAACTGTGTACGTGACATTCTTTATTGATAAAGTTAATTATGTATAAAAAAATCAAGCTCACTTAACCACGATAAATACGCTAAATTAATATAAGTGTATTAGTAGAGTTTTTCACATATCCGCAGAATTCATTGTCATAAGATTCATTACGCGATCACCCTTGAGAATTACTTTATAAAACAACACAGTTTTGTACGACCGAATCCTCAACTGCAATCTCGAGTCGAATTTCGGCGAAAATGTGAACGTTTCTTGTATTCGTATACCAGCATGTCACCTTCAGATGTTTGTTCCACTTCAGTTATCTGCGAGTGTTGGATCTGATGAAAATTCCAACTGCCACACTACATGCGTTCCATTTTTATGCCAATAACCTTAGGAATCATTCCTAGCGAAAACTTTCAGTATGGTCTCATCTTCACGAACGCAATCGCCCATAACGCCACAGGGCGTGAATCAGGCAACCCTCGTGAGATGTCCTTATCGGCGGTCAGGGGGGCGGGCCAACCAGAGATATGTATTCTACGAAAAAGAAGCTACTACGCAAAATTCGTAACCGACCCGCACGCTTGTGTATTATTGAACTACTTTTAGGAAACAGCCGTTTAAATAGAGTTCCGAAATAGAACGCAGGTAGTATATCGCTTGTTCGAAAGTGGCTGCACCCGATAGGTTTCCCAGCTGTATCCACGAGCTGTTTAAAGGCGGAAGTTGCGAGGCACTCCAGATCGAGGGTCGCAGAAAACAATAGTGTAAACGCTGTTACTGTTACCGCTGTACATTTAATGTGTGCAGTTTTTATGCTTTTTTTCCCACGGCTGCTTAAATTCTCGCGATTTAATATTATAAATAATGTACTGTCTTGTCAAAAAGCGCCTATATAGTACGAGCTAGCCCTATTATATTTACTGAAGGGCCTGCTGTTACATCTTTACAGCTTTTAATACGTTGTTTCTCTCGAAAAACAGGCAGAATAAGTAGGCAAGACAGGCTTCATCGCTTATTGTGTATCACCTTGCCATAACGGTGCTATAATGCAGAACGAAGAGTAAAAATGTATTACATAGTTGCAACACGGACTAGAATTACAGACGCGTTCCAAGTAGACGACTCTTACTGTTATAGATATCCTATATGTGTGACGTTCATCACTGTACCCTTAATTCTAGTTCTTGCTGCATTGCTTTAGTTATAACATAGCAAAACAGGTTACAGTAGAACAGTATATCTTAATCGAAATGTGTAACCTAAGAGAAAAATTTTTTATAAGATATGAAGCTGATAATGAACCGAGTTCACTTGGTAAATGACATTGAGCTCAGCTAAGGCCAAATTATATTATTGTGAGGAAAAGGAGTCACCCTTAGCCGACAGTAGAAGCCGCTCAGTCAGCAGTTTACATGCAAACAATGCTGAACCAGGTCAATTAATCTCAATTTCATATTGCAACCGTAACAGTTCTATTTATTGCAACTACTGAAACCACCATGCCGCAGTAGATACTTTTTACAAAAAAAAAAAACAAATAGCAGTATTAGTATAAAATATCAGTAAATTAACGAATGTGCAGTACCGTTAGTGTCAATAGTAACAAATATTAGTGTTAAGGAAAGTGTCATAGAACATAAACGCAGACTCCGTCTACTAAAATAAATAATCATTTTCTTCTAACAGTTTCGCTAATTAACAAACAGTAATTAAAGAAGATTAAGTGTCAATTGATACATAAAGCTCGGCAAACACTACAGAAACACCTTAAATGGGATAAAGCTTTTGCTGCTTTTGACATGGTTGTCTCCAAACCTAGTCATTCCTTCGCCATAAATTTTTCTTACTCATTTTCCTAGAAGCGCATCTGAATATATTTTTCTAAAATCGACTTTACAATCTATAATATATACTTTGAAAGCTTTTTAACGTTTTCTTTCTATATATATATATATATATATATATATATATATGCAAACATGTGGCAAAAAATCACGAACTACGAAACTTATACTCTTGTACCCATTTTTAACGAACAACGAGTAAACAAAAACCTCGTTTAGAAAAAGAAGTAAGTGCAATTTATGGCGTGACTACTATTACGGATTTCTGGGTTCATATAAATAATAAGCACATTTCAAACAAATACGTAAAACAAAAAACAATAAGGGATATTAAAAACACAACACTTCTGTTTAAAGCAAAATCTTTTCTATACTTGTAGGAATCCGAAAGAGAGGCCTGATGGCAAGGCAAGGACGAAGCGAAATCACGAAAAACTATTATTATATCTCTAATTCAAACAAGAATCTTTTGGAACGAGTTTTAACATACTTCTCCGTTACACACTGCCCTAAATGGGCTGTTTCCATTGGTTCTCAAACTGGAAAGGCAGTGAGCACTTAAAGTCACACGACAAAAAACTGTGTGTACCCCGAAGGCACTCCGATCTAAGGCCACCCCCTGTCTGGTGAGAGTTATGCAAAAAAATATTTAGATTTAATCGTTCTCTGGTTAGCTCTAGAAAGGTATTATATGTGTATGCAATTAATCAGCTGGACCGGTCATAAACGAAGTCTCGAGTGAAATTCACGAGTGAGTAGCTAAATGCATCAGGGATCTGAGATAAGCGTATTCATTTACTCATTACTAACGTTATATGCTTCACTAAGCAGATTCCAACCAATTCCCATGAGATAATTGACCGCTGCCCATTTTACAGGTCAACTCGTAACTACGTTGTAAATTCGACGTAGCAGAACTATGCAGTCTTCTAATCTTTTGCTCTATATTACTGCTTCTTCTGATTTCGTATCACGGAATAAAACTTACAACTTATATTTCTGAACTTATGTGCGGCAACCCACTTGTTGTCCTGTTCACTCTATCTCTAGTCCGACACAGCCCGCGGCTCTATCGGATAAATTTGCCGGTTCAGGTATTCGTGATAGCCTGTTGAGCGAATCGATACTAGCACAAACTGACCGCGAGAAAGTCAAAAGGCGAAGCCAATACACTTCAACCGATAGTTCAAGACGATCTACTTCAACCATATCGCATAGTGTCAGCTTTCGCCTAAGCTGTACGGACGTGGACCATCTCACGCCGACCATAAGGCCATCACCTTACGCCAAACCTAAGGATCGAGGCGTGGTACACATAGGTTACGAAAGAAACTTAATTGGAATATTAGACACACTTGGTACAAATTATTTTACATACGGAACACCACAAAATATTGCTGAAGAATGTACGCCAACTAACCATTTAACTGGGGGATTTTAATACAGACCTCGAGCGCCTTCAGGTATCTCAGTATCGTGACTATTGACTAAATGTACTTATGTAATTATACCAGTGCATGTAGTTACGTAAACTCATTACGTAAGCCAGCCATCCCATTTGCAGATTCGACGCCTGCGTCGTTTGGCGGAAAGCATCCGCCTTTGGCACGATAAACATGGAAAAGAACTTCCCAAGGAATACATAACCATTACACCCCCCTCACTTGCTAAGGAGCTAGACAAGATTGAGGAGGAACAGTCGAAGGTAAAATCTCTTCATTGCTTTATTTCATCACTGATTGCACCGCTGCCTCACTTTTATTTTTCTGAAGTCCCAACCGTTCGGTGCTAAGTTGGCCATAACTGGCTCGATAAATGTTTGATGATTTGCAGAGCAAACGGGAAAGGAAGAATCGACGTCTCTATATTTTGCAAAAGGAAAAGGACAAACAGAAACGGAAGAAAAAAGCGAAAGATTCATTGTTTGGCCGATCGCCAAAAAAGGTTCTAAAGCCTCAGAAAAGCTCGCCGAAATCGAAAGATAAGTCAGGGTCAAAAGGAGCCCCGAAGTCTTCCAAACGGTCGCCGAAAGTGCCATCCGATTTCGATGATGGTCAACTTACAACCAGGTCACGGTGAAATCGGCTTGATCAAATGTCCCTATTTAGTTAGTAAAAATAACAACGGAACGCAAAATCAGCAAAGCTGCTAGCAAGCATTGACTACATAAACAAAAGTCGGCTCTATAGGCGAACATCTACTCTTTGGATGAGATTTAACAGCTAATCATAGACGTAGAAATAATTAAAATCATAGCGGTTTGCCATTTCAGCCGAAAAAGAAATGACGGTTAGTTAAAGTGAACGATGCTTTTCAATATATGTGCGCCTAATGTAGGACGTTTAGACGATCGGCATAGGTCAGGCTTTTCAAAAAGATAGGCCCATTTTCTACAATTTTCTACAATGCAGTTCTAATTTTCATATATGTTTCCACTAATAAAGTCCGTTGGTATGCTAAACGCTCTGAGTAATGCTACGTAGTAACAGGCACTATACGTGAAATACATTCATACTAATTTAGAGAGAGACTAATTTAGAGAGCGGAGATTAGCTAAGCTGAGGGTACCATTATTTTGTTGTGCGAAAGCTCGCTGTGTAATGGTATCACTGCAATCACCAGTTTTAATAATAAAAATTCGTACGCTCTCAGACGGGTTTAACGGTAATGGGTCTTGTTAACGTAGAAATGTTTGATGTACACCAAATGCAACACTGTAACTTTTCAATGTAGTGTGTCACTAGCTTAATCGCTTAATGGTTATCTTGATGATAAACTCATGTACTAATGACGATCTAGAGCCCTCTTTTCTTGTAATATAAGGCGACGCTAATTATAATTGAGATATCATTGGGAAAGCTGAAATGCAGCCAAATTGTGGCTTGTTCAAGCAGGCGCATTAATGCCTGCGCTATCTCGTAAGCAGCAGAGCAGCTATACGTACAATAAAGGAGCAGTGATAATGTTTTAGTAATTTCCCTTGTTTATCGGATATTTCATAGCTTTTCGTTTTCAACTAAACACGAAAAATATGTCGAAATGAATAGGATTTGAAGAAGACAGTTTATCGATAATGAATGCGCTATCAAAAAATACAAGGTTATGTCACTAAATTATAATCCGACTATAAAAATTAGTAAGATTTAGAGCCCTTACCAAATGCAACGTTAACCCAATGTAACGCTAAGCGTATTAAATTGAACTCTTACAGTTATTGCCAAGAAGAAGTTTTAATAAACGGAGGTTAAAGTATATGGCTTCCTTAGTTAAATTTCTTCATATTAGCATTCTACGTGATGTGAACATCTTTAACAAATATAAATTCCATGATAAATTTAATTATTAATAAATTCACTAAAATGAACCATATTAACAGCTGAGACGCGCATACAGCGATACCCGATCACAACGACTGACCCCGATTTATTTGGGTACATACGGCTCGTATACTAAAGTAGATCGCCACACTGTTCACGCGAAATAAGGAATACACTATATCTATCACGACGAAGAATTCGATTCTTAACACAAGTTCATTAAAATTCTAGCTTTGTTAGTATGCTTTCATTTTATTATTATATTTGTTTTAAAAATATTATTAATTCCAAATGAAAAATATCTCACTGCAATCCGGTTGTATTGTCAAAAACATCTATGCAATTTGATAACTAGGTTGGTGAAGATCAATAATCTTAAACCAGCCCATCTTAAATACGTGATTTCATTTACTGTAAGTACAGGGCGCCTCGGTTGGTTCAATGCCGATTCCTAGCTATTGGAGCCCCATAAATAAAGTCAGCTTTATCCGCTCTCCGGTATGTTAAGGTCAGTGGTACGAACTACCTTTTCTAGCTAGCAGTCAATGGGCCCCAGCTTCCCGATCGGAAGAGTAAGATCGTCGACAACGTGGCAAGCTGCAACCCAAACGAAGGTCGTCTACCCTAGCCTATACCTTCGACTAGCTGCAACTTGGTGACTCCGAAGCACACTATATTATATGATCTCTCAACTGTGCCTTGCGGAATCAAATTCGTTTCTCAAACCGTTGCCAACTTGTAGCTAATTATGATGAATACATTACATATTCACTCTAGACCAATAACTTCTCGCAATACCAAGATCAAATTTCTTTGAAACTGACACCTCGCTTTTACTAAGAAATCAATAGATCATCGAAAGTTCGTTCCGACAATTTATGAAAATGTTTACTCTTCAATACCTTCAACAGAAATCTTGTAGCTAAAAATTGATTAGGCAAGACGTGTCTAGTTGAGACGGCATAATCGTATGTTTACGCTTCACTATAACCTGTTCAGACCCCAGCGCCACCTGCTCTGAGAACAATGCTTATTGCATCGTAGTTTTCACCTTAAAAATAACATATTTTGGAAATATTTTTCCAGAAATTAATGCAAAGCGTTGTAAAGTACTAAACTCCAACAATGCAATATAATATAGAGTCTGATTAGAAAATTCTTAGAAGACAAACTTCTTTGAAATGGGACACCAAATAAATTCGTAACTTGTCACAGAAATGATAAATTTGTTGCCACGATGCCCTCTTTCCAACATCGTTCGGATAGGTGTCGCGTAACCGTCATCGACAATCTATTTCGATGACGGTTAAAAGAAGATCGTGCACATAAAGAATACGGAGGATGCACGGAGATCAGCTGACCACTGCTGGCTACAGCGCTCTCCTGTAAGCTGCTAACAACACCATACCCAGGGAGGCTAAGGTGGAGAAGATGTTCGTTGACAGGCTCTGTCTAAGGAAGGAGCACACTCACCGGCGAATATCGAAGCCCATTGTACCTCTTGTCGCACTTGTCAGTGTTCAGCAGCAGTACAAATACGACAGCAGGTGTATCAAAAAATTGTGACCACTATAATGGCCCGTTAGCAAACAGTTATTGCACCGATAGACATGCAGACACACTCACAAGAGCCGAAATATATATATTTCATAAACTGTACAAATGCACGCCACAGTAAGGCTCAACGGGATCCGATCTCGCTTCAGCCACTATTCAACTCTATAATACACACACACACACGTCACGATTATAGACGGCTAGAAGACCGGCGGCGGGCGGGCAGGACGATAAACAAAGTCAATCGATTAGACGGCGCGCCGTCTGCTTTAAACGTTTGGCGGACTTTGGAGTAGCTCTCCGGCTCGACAATTAAAGACTTTGCATATAAGAAAATCAAGTATCGAGGGTAGTCACACTCTTGAACTAAGTGTTGATATGACACTTAGCAACTAGTCCGTATCCATGAATTCCAATATTAGTAGGTGCGTTGAAGCAAACGTTTATGTAAAAGTATATTGAGAACTTTTCCACTTGTTCAGGAAAGACGTAATGCTCCACTTCACATGTTGAAATCGGCCTTGCTAGAAGGTAGCGCATATTATGTTTGCTTGATTTTTCCTGAAGCGTGGCCTTTTTTTGGCTACAATACTCCAGCGTGTCACAATAAGAAAAGCACATATCCTAAGCTAAGTTACTGGTCAAAAATACTCTAGTGAAATCGTGACGATCTAATACTGTACTAAGTAACGATCTTATGTAGATATAAAGATGATGAGTTGGTTTGACCGTAATGGCAGTAAGAAGTAAAATTGAATCTAATAGACCAAGAGAGCCTAACTCGCTAAGTCTGCGAGAGAACTAATCCAAGGATTGACACAGGAACCAGCTAAAGTTTGAAGCTGACGCCTGATAATGCGATTCTATTTCTTTACTTGTAATCGAAAAAATGGTAGCATGAAAAGTGCATTAAAAATTATAGAGCGCTATATAGTTTTAATTTTAATGATCTGTGAAGGTCAGGTTTGCTACTCTTGAAATTCTTTTAGGAGAGACCATAGGAACACAAATGAAAATTTTGAACTCTCACGGACAAACTTCTCATTTACCGCCTGGACGGTGTAGATCTCTCTTTCTGGCACGGTGATTTGTTAATTCTTTGTTATTTCCGTTGCAATCTACTTCTTCAGACAAGCCTAGCTAATAAAATCAACACTTCCGAGTTTACAAAAATTGAAGAGCTTTTGGTTCCTTCTACAGTACGTTTCCTGAATCATTTGAGTGACTATAGCACACCGAATAAGTCAGATAAAAGTAAATATTGGACACGCTATACTCAATGGAATTTGTTCAATGAAAAAAAATAAAGATAGCGTATGAAGCACTAGCATATAAATGGGAACCAGATTAAATATGGATATTGAAACATGATGGACAGACAGAACAAAAAGAACAGTATTATCTTATGCTTTTTGTCTTTACCACACCGTACACTATTTGACCAACTAAGTCATACTTTCAATATTTAAAAAAGTTAACTTAATATTCTCAAAAGTTTGCCTCGGATCACTCTACAATGCTTAAGCAATGGAAGCACTCTGAAAATGTTTTTTGAGCTTTGCCCTGTAAAGTAAGTGGGAGGTCCAGCTAGACGTTCACTAAGCGCTATGTCATATAGGTACCCCTTTGTCGAAGGAATTCGGTATCGGCCTTCTTTGTTTCTCAATGAACGACCAGATGTAGCAACCCATAATATTTTAGCAGATGCCCTCTACAGATGATGTGATTCGTCATTTTTCGTTGTACCGATTGATAACGTATTCGCCTCGCACCAAGATCAAATCAGCTGAGATACTACACTGGAACCGTAAGGGAAAAAGCGTTCGTGTACGATTCATCCCATTCAAAATGTTTGAATAACTAGAAAGAATTTGCTAATGTATGTATATTAATGTATACACCTGCGAGCGAAAAAATATCGATTTCGTTTGGCTTAGGTTCTTGTCACAGCATTCTAAGGGTCAGTTACACTAAACAAACAATATATTTATAGCAATCTTTTAACAAAGTTAACTTACACGAAATGATTTTCTGTTGCTAACTCTATACGCGGAAGAAATTTGCAAAAATCCATTTTAATGATACACTGAATAGATTTGCCGCTGTTTGAAGCTTCTATATCAGAGTTTCCTGATACCTTAAGATGATTTCGACGTCTGTCGGAAATAGTGCATATCATTTTTCGGAGCAACTGCCATTACGTGTCTTCAACTTACGATTGCAGTCGACATATGGTTCTGCTTTTTCGAAGGAGTGCCATTAGTAATTGTAATCTGTCCTTGAAGGGTTGTTCCTTGTAGTTGAGGGCTGCTTTGCGATATGGTCTGCTTCTTTATTTAATTACACCTGCCGTGTACTATATATCGTTCTATATATATATATATATATACATGCTGCCACTTTATTAATATATTGTTCTGTTGTGTTTCCATAGAAGCTACTTTCTTGTTTCGCACTCATTTTACCGGTATTAGTGAATCTGAAAAATTATATTTTTTGTGCAGTTATGCACTGCTGGGTAATGAAGATTAACCAGGGATACTCTTTTTTTTTTGTATTTCACCTGGCAATTGCAAGCGGGACTTCAGGAATGGCGATATATTAAATCGGCCGTTGGTTGGATTTTCTATTCGTGTGTGCCTAATAGAACAAACTATCTATGTTGTCATGGAAGTATTAGTTTGCTATAGAATGCAATGAAAGTAATGAGCAAAGAGTAAATTATCCGATTTCTTTAATCGGCCCATCTCATCTAAAGTCACATTATCAAAAAAAGTATTTGTGTTTTGATTTTTTAAAGTATCTTGAAAAATCATTATTTTCCATGTTGGCTATAAGGATGACGGTTTATAATTTTAGCCAATAGTCTAAGAACACTATCTAGTACGTTAAACGTACACACGCATTGTTAGTAAGAGTAAATCGATACCGAGCAATACGGATGCAAACTACGAAATGCCCTTGTTCACTCGGAAGTGAACATCTACCAAATCTTTTAATGCACGTCTTTTAAACATTTGGTGATCCTAGAATTCCCTATTCTAAAGGCCCTGTTAGACAGACAAACAACTGGTAGTCATTTGATCACTGCTCGAACTGGCACAATATAAAATACCCATTTGTCTTTTCCATCACGGTTTCGTACGCTTGGGTTCACGTTAATATGCGACCCACGTCATCAAATAATTAGCCCTATATAGTAAATACTTTTGCTGAATACTAGATCAGTGCCTTGCGATTTTAGGCAACTTTGACAGGTAGTCAACTTAACCTTTTGCCCACCAAAGAAAGAAGAAATGTTCCGACCCAGAAATTTCGAAACACTTTTTTTCTCTCTACATATGCATTTACATGCAAAAAAAAAACAAAAAGAAAAACAAAAAAATGCGCTGGAGCTCACCTTCAGCACTGTCAAACTTTGGCTAGTTTTTACTTTATTTTTGCCATCTACAATGAATAATCTCAATTTTGTTACAGTTTCAATTTCAGTGAAATAAAGATCGCGCAATTAATTTTTCTGCGCAACATTTGAAGTGTGTTATCATTGCGAACTATTGAACGCTTTCGAGCTGTCGAACTTATGTCTATAACTGTTTTTTAGGCGTCCCAATTGCTATTCAAAGAGTTTATAAGCGTCCTTGTAGATAAGTAACATCCTACGAAAATATGGCCACCAGATGGCGTAGATGTGGTACGACGAAGGTAACAAGGGTAAGGATCGTCGCATTACTGACAACGAAATCAGTAACCGGATTAAGACGCACTCTTCCGTTGACCTTTTGAAACGAGGGCTTCGTTTATCGTGTTCAGACGTTTTGCAGGGATAATTGTACGAAACCAGATACACTGATTTTGATAAAAGGTTCTTGGGATGTGAAGCCACCACATTTATTATTTGTTTCGCAATTAAATTATTGAAGCTATAGGCATCTTACAGGAAAAGCACTTTCTGAAAAGAAGATAATTGTCGGCCTCATCCGTCTATAATCACCTTTCCCTCGATGACAGGTTGTGTCCACCTATTCGATGAACAGTCTCGAGGTACGCTACGCACAACCAGTTGACTAGTATTGTATAGGAAGCATTAAACGATCTTCCAAAATATTTGCAAACAATACAAAAACTATCATTATTATTTTTGGCGCAAATCCATGTCCGATACATTGCATTGATGCTGGTACGCACGTGTTAGTGTTTGTGCGTATCTCAAAACGTCGCTTTCCATTGCTTCCTACTGACTTCTAACTTGACTCGCGTTTTTATCCCTCCAATATCCACTCGAGGGACAGCCATGAAGCCTTATTTCACGGTTCCTGTACTATAAACGCTAACTTGCGTCACGATTTAGCATTATGTTGCTAACTATTACAACTAAAACAATTCGTACCCACATGCACGTAGAACTTTATTTTCGTTGTAATGAAAAGACATTTTTTAAATCTTTCCGCTTTTCTCTGACCGGCTTTTTACCCTCGCCTACTGCTCCGAGTGAGCACCCTTGAGTCGATCGGCCGTCGATCGTTGGGCGCGCGGGGGATCTAGTCTCGCTCACGGAGGCGGCGTCCCCTCTCACCCTTCTTCGCCTGTACTAGCAGCAGCGGCCATAGCCAGTAGCGCCGTCTGTGTTGCGCCGCGGCTGCCGCTACCGCTGCCTCCGTCTCCCTCAGCCTCTGGCTCACGTTGTCGCCGTTGTGTTTTGTTCGCGTTAGCCCACCGTTCGTCAGTTGTTGCGTGGCCGGCGTGCGGAGTAGATCGCGTGCCCATTGTGGCGACGCGCTAAGGTTCGTCGTCGACTTCGTCGTCAGTGTGTGTAGTGTTTATGCTGCTGTGCCGTTAGCACGGTTACAGTGAGCCTGTCTCTCCACCCAAACACCCACCCATCCATCCCTAACCTGAGTGCCAATGGCGGCGAGTGATGACGAATGACGAGAAATAATCGTTAAAAGGAATAAAAACAACGAGCAAGCTTTCGTCAGTTTTCAGTTCTTTTGACTACTTATTATCGTGGTATTACGGTCCAAATGGTAATCGTGCATCAAAGCGATTATTTGCTACGCGCATTGTGGATATAGTTCAATGGTACTATAGCAACGCTTTTCTGTGTTACATATTTCGTTTGCTATTCAGTGCTACGTTACTACTTTGTAGTGAACGCTGCTACGATACGAAATACTATTATTATGATTGTTAGCATTAATACGATCACCGTAGTTGTTTCACTAATATCACATGGTTGACTATTACCGCTGCCGTCGCGACACAATTCGACTGATACTAGTTGCAGCAGTAATAAAAAAAAGGCATTATTCTCGATGTTACATATCATATCGAAACAAACGTGACACGCGATATCGTCCTGTGTAATGTTGACCTACTCGTATATGGCATCGTTTCGTAGTTGCATAGATTCGCAGCGGTTGAGAAGTTCTAACAGTGATATAACAGTGAAGTCGTCGTGCCTTGCTGCTGCTGCTGCTGCTGCTACTACTGGTGCTGCTGGTGCTGGTGCAATTCCTACGTGAGAAAGACCGAGCTATATATGTATATATACGACGTAGGGATGTGTGGGAATGTAGCATTTGCTAGTGAGGAATCTATCTGTCTCGGTAGCACAACTACATCTCAGTGACGGGAACAAGACTGGTCACAGCATCTACGGCAGTGTTAGATAGGTCGTGCTGTGCTATCTCCAATTGCCTGTTGTATTGCTACAGCCAGCTCACATCATCGCTGCTACTACGAGCCGCCGCAGCAGCAGCAGCAGCAGCAGCAGCAGCAGCAGCATCCATTGAAGGAACGAAGCTGAGCTATCGATCCTCTTGACGAACGGAAGCGAAGCTGTGTAAGCCAGTGTGTCTGGTTGTGCGCTAAGTGCTAATCGGAGACGAAGGTGAACAGAATAGGACAGGCAAGAAGACCAAGCTGCACTTTTTGAATGCTGGTGATATCGAAGTGAAAATATCTTCAGCCAGAGATATGTCTCTGTATCTATTATCTACTAGCCGTAGATGTTTAGTCTTCTTCGTGTGCGATATCATTACTGCTATCGTAATAGTGACTGTTATTACAACAGCTTCAACAATTCGTGTGTAGAGAATGTGCGTGAGAGTGCTTACTTGTTGAGGGTGTATCGTATGTCTTTACTTTTCTTCTGCGTTCGTCTCAGTTCCTCTCGCTCGAGGAGTTCGATTCTCGCGAGAGTTTCCGCATCACGTCGTAGCTTATCATCGTCAATCATCAGTCAATCAATCAATCGTGTAGAATCGCTGTTTGTTTTAGTTGGTTGCCTATCGTTGAAACCAGCACAGAAGCAGGATCAACGCGATACTGGACAACAACGGCGTGCGACATCGTGTTCGGTGGTGCTTTTGTGTCTGGCAAATACAATCTGGTACAAAATTTGTACCATTTTTTTGTCTCTACAGTAATTTGTGCGATAACGGCGGTGGCCGCAACGGCAGCAGCGGCAGCGTCGACGGAACGCTGCATGATCTAATAGGCCGTGGTGTCTAGTCGTCTTGGACGAATGTTGTTGACATGGTTTGAAGGCGGAGCAAATCCTTGTTACGTTGCAAATGTTCATTCTCGAGAACTGTAAACGTACGTAGTTGTCCCTAGCGAAGCAGTGGGTTAAATGTCAACGTAATACCATCACATCGTCCACCCTCACAATAGCCGAATCAGAATCGTATCTATCCTCCAGCACGGCTTAAACTCTGTACCCTTCCGCCCCCACTTCCGTCGTCCTTCTTCATCCGTACAATTAGCGTTGCGGAGACGGCCGTCCGATGCCACTGCTTCTGCAGTCGCCTGGCATGTTCCTCTGTGGCGGCAAGGGAAGTAGTGCTGCCAAGGGCCCGCCGCGTTCCCCGGGGCCTCATCTCGGGACGCTCGGGCCACACCTGGCCGCCCACCACCATCATCAACAGTCGTTCCAGGTGGTGATGGCTCTGTCGTTCTCGTGCGAGAATCTGCGCAACCATCTCGAGGATTCGTTGGCGTCGCCGCTGCGACAGCGAACTGTGTCGGCAACAAATACGAATTCAGTGACAGGAGCGGCAGCGCCGACGGCGACGACAATAAACACTACGACCGGGTCGGCGGTGGCAACGAGCGCGGGGGCGCCTGTGACAAACCTCGCAGTACCCCCAACAACAGCTGAGGACGCGGAGCAACGCATCCTCATCCTTGACTGCCGGCCATTCTTAGCCCATTCTGAGCGGCGGATCGGAGGTTCCGTTAACGTTCACTGTCCGGCCATCCTTAGACGGCGGCTCGGTAACAGACTGCCTTTACGGACAGTTATACCCGACCGGGAAGTGCGCGACAGACTTCTAGCAGGACTCTATTCGCCTGTCGTACTATATGAAGAGGCAACGTGTACACCCGGGTCACAGCAACAGCAGGATTCGATGGCAGCATTCGTCGCCAGATGTCTACAAAATGAAGCTGGAGTTAGCAGTGTTTACATTCTTGAAGGTATGTCCATAAACGCTACTTTGATTGCATAGAAGAACAGGTAAAAAGACACTCGTATCTTTATATGTAGACAGGCTTAATAATGCTGTTGGCATGGTGTTTGTACTCGTTTTACACAACTAGATATATTCTATGTTTTCTCAAATTGAAAAGAAGAATCATAGCTGAAATGCGTAATCAAATAATTATAACGAAAGCCTGATTGTTGTGCTGGCCTGTGAAAAAGCGTAGAGACGAGGCGATAACGCACACGAAGAGAGTAAACACAATATAGAATAGCAAAAAAAATGTGGGCTGGAAAAAGAGGCTATTTAAAAGTGAAACTATAGCCCTATTTGAATCGAAAAAGACGAAAGGAAGTTCGATATCTGAATATATATTCATTGTGTGCGACCAGTCCGTATGACGTCCATCCATGGACATGTGTACGTACCGTGGATACCTAGTGTTCAGCTTTTGCGCCCAAAAGAAGTAATATTGTTGGGTAGGTGAAGCCTCTAAAATCTTATCCTACGTTTTTGGAGAAGCCGAAGCAAGCAGGGTGTAGTTTTGATGGTGTACCGCATTAAACCGAAATCGGTGTTTACAGAATAATTTAGGAACACCCTATTGACAGACAGATCTATTGTCGAATCATTGAAATCAAACAATCGAGTAAATTGTTTGCGTTTACCAAAATGGGCCAGCATAAAAAATTCGGACATCGGATCCTAGCATACTATAAGATTTTCGATTACGTCAAGATGTGAGTAAATTGGAGTAATCGGATCATTCTAAGACTAGAGTTAAACAATATAGGTGTCCGTTAAAGCTCGATGAATAAACTTGGTGGCTCCAATAGAAATGCTGTTTTTTTGTGCATTATCTTACGAAAAACAATCACTGAAGACAAGCTGAATGAACGATGTACACAGATGACGAAAATCATCACAGTTTCTGATCACCTGATCGATGATGACGATGATTTATTATAAAACTACTTTCTTCTGTATCACAATGCGTTATTGTGAGGTAGATCAATGTAATTAATCTTGCTGCGATCGAAATAGGCGCAAAGGCCTATCGTGATCACTTTCCCAATTGACAGACGGGACACAGCGGAGCACTATGGACATTTGGGTTAGCAATTATCAACGCCTATACTGCAAGAATTTTGAAGTATGCATGTACGGCTAGAAATCACTAATCATATATGTGGTCGTTGCCTCTTACCTTTGCTGCTATCGGTTGATAGCGTCTGTATGGCTTTTCTAGCCGGAGTATTTCCAGGTTATTACTGATATTGCCAGTATAGATCTAGTAACCATAATGAGGATATGCATTTATACTTTGCCAGTGTATCTGTGTGGCAATTATTTTGATCGTAGCATACGTACACTTGTGATTAGTACAGTAAAGATCGTATTGAGAAAGCGCTGACTACTGCCGCTGTTACTCGTTAGCGAGGACGTGTTATGCTGGGTGAGTGCGTCTTTTTCTCTGTCTACAATGGGTAGCACCGTCTGGTGGATTATCCACTATGTAGCAAGCAGTCTGCTTTGTGGCCGCATGCCCACCGGTATTCCGCTGCACAGACGGCAACAATATAGACTTCGGCAACGCGCGTTTTTAACTTGCGTCTGCGATCTGCCAGACGATCTACGCGGCGCACAGCGAGGCATGCCAAGAACACCTATGACAGCGGCAGCAGTGATGGCTTTTGGCGATACGGTTGCGCACATCACGACCGAGGAGTTCAGGGAAGTGCACTTATTAGTTTGTTCATTCGACTATTTTGTGCGTATATATAGGGGCAGAAAGGGGACTGGAAAAGAGTCGTTATTGCACGTGGGCAGTCGACCGAAAGAAACTGTTCCATGGTCGAACCTTCAACTGTGCGCGGGTCATCGGTAAGCACTTGCGAATCTAACAGTTGACATAGTCATATCGCTTCAAGTCGGCTATGTTTAATTAGCCGCAACGAATTGTCGGCGATTGTTTTCGACATCACTGAGCCGCTGGCATTGACATATGGACGCTCGTATTCGTGGCCGTTCCTATGGTCAAACGTTACGTGTGTATCTGCGCGTGTAGCGTTTATGTATACCTGTCTATATGACTGCAGAAGATGGCATCTTCGAAGATCGAACTAGCGCGGCCATTTATAGCTTCGTCGCTATCGGCCATAGTCGACTGGTTGATTATTGATTCAGTAGTGGTAAGTGATGACGTCGGTGAGCATAATGGTTCTCGTCGCTGCCGCCGCCGTTTGCTATTGTCAGCTAGCAACAAAGGTCAGCTCCACGTGAATCGTTCATTCATTCATTCATTCATGCCGTTGGCCATCGTCCGTCCGCTCGACGGACAACTGGCAACACACCAGCGGCCAATACCACGTTGATTCATTCACGCAGAAGAAGCAACAGTAACAATATGAAACAGGGGGATATTGGCAGAAAAAAAAAAAAAAAACGAAAAATTAAGCGTCAGAGGTCCACCTTTGTCTTACATCGAACTGCATTATCAGCAGTTGTAAGACTGTCGCTGTTGTTGCCTCTGCTATAATCATCAACTTCCGACCATACTGTAGCCAGTTAGATTATAACGCAAAAACAACTAGTGGGAAGCTTTCTTCTGCCGTTCGGCGTTGACCGAGCCATATGTGTATCCTTTCCGTTGCTTCCTTGCCACGTTGGGGGATAAGATTCGCAGCGGGTCAGCGCTGTTGATTCGAGTTGCAGTACTCTGGCTGCTTGTAGCTTCCGCCGTTTGATTTCGGCACAGAAAAAAGCTTGTGAAGCTAATGGCCGGACAGATACGGCCGGACGCACGAATCGTATAGCTGATTGATGAGCAAAGTAAAGATGAACACGTTACACGCAATGTATCTGGCTGCAGGTAGTAATGGTGGTTTCGAGAGCTGTAACAGCGGTAGAATAAATGAAAATAATTTCACGAGGCAACACGAGGGCAAAAAGTGACTTTGGCTAGCATACGAACTGGGGCTAATAGGAACGGATTACCGTGTCATATGATATGGTATTGTTATTACTATTATTGCTGGTTTGCGGTACGAACAACTGATGCGGAATCTCATTTTTGCCGCCTATGCGTGACGAAGTGTGAAAGTAAACAAAAAGATGCAAGATACGTACGAATGGGCTATGTGTAATTTTAATAAATGACAATAACGTTTTGGCGTGCGATACTCTCGTGCCAGGTAACGCGACGTCTGGCCTATTCTCCTCCATTCAACTTTATTCTGATGATGCTTGATCGTTGGTTTTTGCCTCATTTGTTGTTAGAGCGGCAAACGTTTTCTCTGCTGATCATTTTCGACGACTTCGTCGTATTTAGTGTGACGATTAACACGGACTGTCGTAGTTTGTCGCCGTACAGTCGATAGCCGCCATGCCCGCCGGCAATACTGGCCCCCCACCACTTTCTACCAGATCTGTTTATCAACAACTGCTCCAGTGGCGTTGCATTACCCTAGTCTGCCCCGCCGCTATACGGCGTCGAAAGTTCCTGATGCAACGACGCGAGAGCTGGCCTGTCGCAGCACTTCTCTATGTGACCGCTGTGTTATTGTAGCAAAAGCAGCTGACGCACAAGACGCTGGCGGCGGCAACTTGAGCGATGCTAATAACAGCGACAGCTGTCTGGACTGTAGTAGTAACAGCAGTCTCATTCAAGTTTTCATCGGACGCCGTCGCCACCAGCAGTTGCGACGGGCGTCGAAATCAGCCAGCGAACATGTAACTCACCAGTCGACTGCAATTACGTTCGTTGACTTAATAATTCAGTTATCGCTGGTAACAGTGTGAGTGTAATTTCAGCCTATCGTTACTGCTCAATGCAAGAACGTTATTGCTATTATTTTTTAGTCGAGGGCTAGCCACGGTGTGGTACCTATACAATGTTAGTATAATCTATTGTTCACTATGGGGAACGTTTCATGTGCGCCTATTACTATTGTCGTCGCTGTTTTCGACATTGACGTTGTTGATATGAGATCGTCGCATCGCCGAATCGGCCGCGTTCAGCGTTGCTAAAACCAAATAAAGCATTGTCGCCTTCAGTGTGTCTCCGAGAGCTGCTCACATGCAGGAACAGCGGGTAGCATGTAAGACTACTTTTTCCAGTAATGTCATGCAGCCGCAAGCGCAACTTGTCACAGCAGTAGCCGCTGAATTGACAAAACGAGGTGGTTCGTTCCTACATAATCGTCTCATTCATACACTGTTCAATATGTTGATCAAATATTACATGTCTTTTCTTAAAGCCGACGGCCCGCGTTCACTCCTTGCTCCGGCTAGACGAAATTCGTCGGATGCGCTGACATAGCTTCAGCACGGACAGGAGACTTGTTATCGCTACTGTTATGCTGTCAGTGGTTTTTTCCACTACACAGCACGAAAGACGGCAAAACAGTACATACAGATATTGTATTTGCCAGCCTTTATCAGCTATCATCGTATTCTTACGTACGATTCACGATTCTGATTAACACGGTTAGCGCACGCGCTGCACCAATAACTTGCACTTATCTTAATTGATTTAGTTTTTGTATGGCTACCGCACAAAACGTACGCGTACCGTGCAGCTGGCTGATTCACGAACGGCTAAACGACTAATTTTATTTTGCAATCGGGTCCTATACATACAGGATTCGTCGAAAAATAAATACCGAAGGGAGAATCTGACCACGTCACCAAAACTTCGTCACCCTTTGATTGTGACCGTTTGCTGTTTACCGTTCTAATCAGCCTGGGACGGCACAACTGTTGCGGGCGAGCCAACAGGTTGGGCTTTGCAGTATCTGTCCTTATATTCGCTGTCGAAGGCCTGCTATCGAACGTGTGTTTAATAGCCGGCGAAGACAAAGAAAATCACCAGTCATCTTCATCGTCACCGCGATGATATAACTGGTGGGACACACTTCGTGTATCCGAAACTAATAGGCTTAGTGGTAATAGTAGTGCTAGCAGCAGCAGCAACTGTAATTATACTGAAATTTA